AGCACTGGCAGAAGCGCCGAAAGTAAACAAGACCCTCACTCAACTTAATCTTGGAGATGGCCCAAATATCCGACAGAGGAGGTGAAGCACTGGCAGAAGCTCGGAAGTGGTGTTTTATTGTTGAAGCTTTTCCCTTTCTTTGTGGATTTTTTGTGTGTTACTCACCCTATAAAAAAAAGATTACTATGGCAGAGCCTGCTAACAAACCTGCACATCCAGTTCCAGCAGGCAAAATACCTACAGCATAGGTACAGCGTAGAAATCGGCACCTCCAGACTCGCAGAGGCCTGCTCATGAGAATTTTGCCTGCTGGAACTGAATGTGCAGGCTTGTTAGCAGGCTCTGCCATAGTAATCGTATTTTTCTAGGGCAGCCTTTCTTGAATTATTGAGCATGAGTTGAAGATAAGGTAGAGGGAATATTTTGGGTTGAGGGTGAGACTAGAAGAAGAGCTTGTACATTTGTTGAGTTCGCAGCTGATGAACGCTTCTTCGCGGACGCACATGGTATTATTGTTGGGCGTTTAAAATGTGAAGATGCATTTTGACGTCTCAAACATGATTTTTGAGTAAAGAGGTTTTAATCGTTTCCAGGACCGTAGCCAGAAAGTTGGTAAGGGGTGGGCATCTACAAAAAAGTTCCATCATTACTAGTCTGAATTTCCATGTTAAAGCTAGGTCGAGCACTTTTTCTTGCGTTTTATCTCCACACGGCATTTATCCCCTATAAATTTAGTATATATTATACATTGAAGTAAAATCTCAAGGGGTGGGCACGTGCCCTGTTTGCCTACCCCCTGGCTACGGCCCTGATTGTTTCTAACTTTAGAAATTGTAGCAGAGGTGAGTGAAAGTTTTAGCAAAGCTAATTTATGCGGAGTATATAGTACTACAGATGTTGTGCTCCTGAGTACACATCGTACTACACAAACAATACCTTCAGACTGTTTCGAGTTGTACACTTATTACAGGTTTTCATATTAACTTGCAGGTGATACTTTTTGCAATAATTAGCTTATTTGGTACAAGGTAATCAATAAAAATCAGAACATAAACGATCGTTGCACAGCATGTGGACTAGAGTCCTCGAGTTTGAATTTTTCGAGCCTAATCTCGTTCTGTAGAGTTAAAACTCGTCCCGAACCTAAAAAGCTTTCGGAAGCGGGATCTGACTTAACTTGCAGGACTCTAATATAAGCTAGGAATAGTAAATTTACTGTTGTAGCTTGCTACAAATGTAAGTGCATTTAGAACCTTAACGGTACAAAGGTTGCTTTTGGACAGTAAGTTTTCGAATGCTGTAATGAATTTCTTGCCGCTTGTATTAAGAAAGAATAAAGCTTAAGTAGCAATCAGAGTATTTTATATGCTTATAACTCCCATTGCTAGATTAAATCTTGTTTTTGATCTGCTTCCAGTAATTAGAAAGATATATGGATTTTACCACTAATATTTCCTATTTATTATAAAAACATCGTCCCTTGACGAAAATATTTTAATAAATGACAAGAATCTGATAAGACTTTTGCATGGGTCTTATTTGACACTTATAGTATTTCAGTAAGATTCCTGACTGATTCTTATATAAGAATCGTCGACTAGGGATTAGGCGATAAATCAGTAGAAGAATCAGGGAGTATTTCCTCTCAACACGAGCGAACATCAGATCAAAAACACAAAGCAGATAAAAATAACGGAGGATTGGTATCACAAATGAATGCATAGTGATTGCAGACAATACAATATTTTGTATGTTGTATTGTTTTTGTTTTTATCGTAATAATAAAAGCATAGACTGATTCAAAAATTCGAAGGAATACTGGGTTACTCTCGAGGAAGAACGTAATCAGTCGTTCAATTATCGTCTAACAATAATAATGAAACAACATATTTACATACCCAAGCAAAATAGGATCTAGCTTAAGCTAGCTAAAGAGGAACAATCAGCTAGCTCAAGCTAGGTAAATGTTCCTTTTAGCTAGCTTAAGCTAGATCCTATTTTGCTTGGGTAATAGAAAAACGAGCAAACAAAACAGTTTTATTCATCACCGGGGAATGAGTTTAAATCTGTTTTAATAGAAAAAGTCTTCCAAATGTTCATTTTCACTAATCCAGGTTTTTTATTTTTCTATTCGATACGAGCATCGGCAATGCCAATTTAATAAACATCGATAAGGATAAATATCTTTTGGTAATACCATAGCAACATTATCAATGTCACCAAACTTTCGGGTTTCGTCTCACTTGTTTATCATCAACGGCGAATAGATTTCTTAGATCATTGCACAACAGTTTTAAACGTAAAACACCGGCAATAGATCATAAATGAAGCAAATTTTTTTAGAATCAAATGCTTTTTCTATGATTCGAATAATAAAAGACCATTTCGTTCATTATTCACGTCCGTCTCTTCCAATTGAACTTCAGTTAGCCTGACTCTCTTAGTGACTACTTTCTAAATGTGAGCTGGACGTACGAGGCCTTTATCGAAGTATTTATTCATGATCATACATTGGATTGTTTTCGTATTTGTGGAACCACATTTATAATATATGATCAATTTATTTCTGAATTCTTCTTACTCATCCTTTGTTCTAGTAGAATTCGAGTCCCGACAATCTAATTCTTTTTTTATTCGATATCTACTTTGTTGTAATCGATAATCAACTTTCATTGATAAAGATCTTATTCCTGTAGCCTAATGCAAATCGATCAGGTTTTCTTTTTGAAGTTCTAATAATCTAATTTGTTCGCGTATTTGAAGAGCTGATTTAACATAATCGCGTAATTCATCGTTTTTGCATGTTTCCATTCTCGATCCATATGCTTGAACAAACTCGCCCAGCTTTTTTCCCGTTCTCTATCATATACACATCTATCCCAGGCACAAAGACATTGGCCCTAAGGCGCGTTTTTTTCTAGTTTTTAACGATCAAAAAACGCGTTAAAACAGTCTTTTTTCATTCTCTCGACTGAGTTTTTAAACTTTTTAGTTTTATTTAGAAGGTACAATATCTGACAAATTATTACACAAAACAAATGTGTCAAAAATCTACTTTACACCTAGATTGATTGAAATCACAAGTTCTTTTGCTGGATCAGGACAATACCTATTTCTGAAACAACTGCTGATAAACGACTTATATAAGCTGTTATGCTGGCCAAATCACACCCGTTATATAATGCTCTTAACGGTACATCTGGCATATTTAGTAAATCTTGAATTGCCAATGTATACAAATACATAAATGCAGTACAATCAACAGGCAAATAGGCATTTGGTTTAATATTCATTATGGTACCACGTTTCTTCCCATGTATAATTCTGTAATCTTTTTTCACATCAGAACCATTTTTTCTTCCACCTCCTTCAATGTGCACCCCGACAAATCGAAAAGTTTCATGAGATTTGTGAATTGTTTCATTATTATATTGACAATTGTTTTCATTATTACCGATTTCAAAATCTGATTTTGTTACTCAATCAAGTGGATCCAAAACAATTGCTCCACCTGAATTCCAGTTTCGAGAACTAAAATAACGAATGAAAGCCCAATTAGCTTAAACAAGATTTGACGAAAAAAACGTAGAAAGTAAATTCGTAAACTTACCAAATAATATGTCGCTTAATATCAAAAATACTATTCTTTTTTTCTTGAATGGTTTGGTCAGTTGCTCGCATGATTCAACTAGATCTCCGAATGATATATAAGACCCACCAACTGAATAGGATGCTTTCATAACTTCACTGTATGGAGTTATGATCTTCACACTTTCTCTCTTTAGGAAAATAAGTGTTCGCTGCAATTAATTTTGCAGGATACATTGTCTTTTCATAAATGCCAAAATCTTGGGCACTTAGGACAATTGAAATCATAAAACATGAAGCGGATATAAAATCTTAGTTTAGTTTAATCTATATTTATTAGTCACCTCAATATATAAAGTCTTTTGATTTCAATAATGCCAGATCTAATGACGTTTCATGAAAGAAATTAAATGAAACTGATTTTTGAAGATTTTTACTCTCTTTCCAAGTTTACTCTAGTCCAAGTGCATTTAACCCATTACAAGCTCAATTTTATTTTGAATGGATAATTATTGATTAGAATTCTTTTGCAATGTATTTAAGGCAAAATAAAACTGCCCCAAAAATTCGACGGAATCCGTAGCAACGACATTGCATGGCCGTTAGATCATAAAATAAACGGAACTTTTTTCTTTTGCTTTGTAAAAACGTAAATAAAATTTTTATTTTTACTTCAGTAAAGTAAAATAGCCAATTTTTCTTTACTCTGTAAAAAAAAGTAAAGTACCACCCTAACCGGTGTACACTCTATTTTGCAAAACAAAATGTAACAAAGTTAAAAAGTCTCATAGTACCATAATACAAAAGATTGTTTCATCTCTCTTCAATGAGAACAAGTTTTGATAGTTAAATATACAGCATGTCCAGAGTAAAAATGAGAATCTCATTTGTGTAGTAGAAATATGCAAGGTTATTTATCTTTGTTTGCTTTAATTTTTGAATATTGTTTGCTCTCATACTAAATCTGGCCAATGTTTTTATATCGAATAATAAATACACAGAAACACAAAACCAAAACAAAGAAATATCATACAAGATGAAACCAGAATTGAAAAACAAAAATATTACAACTTTATTTACATAATACAAAAAAAAACGAAAACAAATTTAGACTAGGGAGATAAATTAAACCATTCGTTCCATTTCACATAGACATATCTGAAATTCAGATCATTCACAGTACGAAAAGAATAAAACGAATGGAAGAAAGTTTTTAGAATAATGCATACATATGTAACAAGTTAATGCGAATTGAGAAAAGAGAAAAAAAACAAACAAAGGATGAGAGAGAAAAATTACATACAAAATATAAGCAGAAATAATAATAAAATTATCTTGACATAAAATGAAAAACTACAAAAACAAAACACAATCAAGCGTACTGTAATTTTCATTGATATTTTTTTTTTTATTTAGCTAATTTTTTTAAGTTCTTCAACGTCTTCATGCAATTGTTCTAAACACTGTTGAAATTGTTTAATTTCATAAGAATATAAATCAACTTTTTTTGATAAATAATTGACTTTTGGGGCAATATTATTTTCATAATCATTTACAATTGTTTGACGTTTTTGTTCAAAGTTATTATCGGCTAATTTATGTTCACGATCAATCTGTTGTTTTCTTAATCGATATTCTTCTAAATACTGTTCAATCCATTCATCGTTTTGAGCATGTGCTTGATGATATTTTCTATCATCTAACTGAATTGATGCTATTATTGATCGTGTTTTATTTGCTTGTTGAATGAGATGATCACGTTTCATTGTCATTAAATTTTGATGTTCATTTAAATGAAGAATACGAGAAGAATTGGTAAATGATTCGGCATTATATGTAGAAATAGGACACTGAGCATCAAGACGGGCTAAAAAATAAAATATCGAGTAAAAAATCTCTTGAAGATGACAACATTATTGAAAAAACATGTGAAACTACAAAACAGGCTTATGATAACATACCAAACGCTTAAGTTTGAGAAAATAAAACCAAAATGATGCATGAATCAGAATAAATGATCGTCACAGTATTTCTTCAATAAACTTTCTACTTTTTACTGCTTATCAAAGAAAATCTTCATTACAACAATAAAAGGAAAAATTCTAGTAATACTACAAAACCCAACAAGGTTAACTTTCAAACGCCTTCTTTGAAAATGATCGGAGTATTTTTTGGACGGTTGTACAATCATTGGAATACGTCATATGCTCTAGTGTGCTCTTTCTCGCTATACATAGTAAAGTTCGTCTAAACTAAATTACGTGTCACAAATATGAACTGTTTTTGGAACTGGTTCAAAAAGCAATAATTGATGTTTTTCGCTCGATACATTAGAAGAAATAACTTCATTTAAAAGTTTCACGATCGAAAATAATGTGTTTAATATTTTGTTTCAAAACAAAAACAAAACAAAAAAAACATGAACTCAAAATACAAAGTTTGGCCGAATAGAACAGTTTTACTGAATGGTGCACGATGAAAACGGTGCTTTTTGCAGAAATATAAAAAAAAAATCTCGTTGATATGACTGGTGATTAAAAGTTAAAAATTCGAAAGATAGGTAGAAGAATTATATATATATTTTTCGACGATATTTCCGTCAGTGAGGGAACATTCTGAAAAAAGCTGAGGTTACAGGGTTTATCAAATGCGATATAGAAGTTTATTTTTGAATGACCGAAAAAAAATTAGAAAGAGCAGAATAGATGCCACTTTTGTAAAGGTTCACTGTTTTACGAAAAAACAGCAAAAAATGTGTCATTCAGATCCTAAAGTAATACTGCCCTCTAGTTTGAAAGTTTAAGAGATTTCAAGCATAGTTTTATAGAGAAATATTTGCTCTACAAATTGGCACAAAAAGAATAATAATTCCATCTAGAGAAGCAAAATCGAGAAGAAATAAAATAAAGGGCAGAAAAACACAATAATGATTGTTCAGAAACTTTGTATCCATCTGATGCTATCTTTGTAGAATTTTTCCGTTTTCGCGTTAGATGTCCAGAGCTACTTATTTGCGACATAGTCTATGATAAATAAAGAAGTAGTGATGTTAATATCATCATTACCAATGTCAGGATGTTGTAAGCCTTCATCGAGTGATTGTTGTTGCATCTCTTCAGCTTAAAATAAAGATAAAAGCATTTAAAGTGACTGAAAAATCAGTATAAAATTATCTACCGTTTTTTAAACGTTTTTGTTCAGATTCTTGATTAATAGTAATATCTGACATAAATTGTCGTCGTTTAAACATATTATTACGTAATTCATTATCATTTCTTGTAATAATCTGAATTTCTTGTTTGATCGAATTCGCAAATGATTCTAGAAAAATACGCATAAACTATCAGAACTATTAAATAAATAAAACAGTTTAAAAAAAAAAGAGAACTTCTAAATGACAATTTATACATTATGGACACAGGTCAATAACATATTTTTCGAACTACTGGAATATGAACAAATAAATCGTAAGTTCTTCTATTATTAGAAAAGAATATCCTTACCACTGTCTGTTATTTTTTCTTCTTTCCTTTCTCTTTCGTCACTCTCTGGTTCCTCTTTGAAATTATCGAACGTTGTTATCCATTCTTCAGTATCTTTTGGCTCAATATTATCTATATTAAATGATGATTCCCACAAATCTAAATCAAAAACAATTTTACAATTGGAAGTACAATCGTCTTTAAGTATTATTTTCACTTCTACAAAATCTAAAAGTAAGTGGTAATTGTTTATCTTCGATTCTTCACTATAAAACTCAACTAAAATGTGTATGAAATGTCAATATATAGCCGTTTTATGTCATACCAATTTTTGGAGAGACCATTGAACGATTTATATCATTTGTTTTTCCGATAAGTGCTGCCACTGCTTGTCGTTGTTCTGTATAATGTGCACAACATAATGACGCTTTTTTAGCTCGTTTATTACAATTATCTCGACGACATAAATCTCGCCACTTTGTTCCTGTCCATCGATAACGACGATTTGTATCATTTGTTATTTTAATATCACCGATTTTAGGGGTCGATAACATTGATGATTCTAAATAGACATAATTCATTTAAAATCATCAAGATACTATGAATCATCTTTCTAATATTTAATTATACCAATTCTTCTTGTTAATTTTCGACGTTCGCTCATTTTTTCTTCGTGTGGTTCATTTTTGGAATGATTTAATAAATCTACAATATTGTCATCGATTGCTGAAATAAAAAAACCTAAAAATATAAATTAAGAGCTAGGAAATTGTGATCTCTAGGAGGTCGGTACTATTAAAATAAAATTTACCGTTTGTTGTATTACCAATGTTTGTAGAACATTGTTCATTTCCATCATTTAGAATTGTTACATTTTTTTCCCGTTGTTGTTTTTGTTCCGTATAATGTGCGAAACAGAGCGATGATTTTTTTGGATATTTTCGACAATTTTCTTTTGAACATAAAGCTCGATACTCGCTACCATTCCATATCTGACATCGATTAGTATTTTTATTCAATCGAATATCGCCAATTTGAGGCATTCTTTATTTTATTCTAAATAGAATAAAAAGAAAAAAATGAATGAAAAACATAGAGATATGTAGAACAAAATAAAGAAGAAAGAAAATTTCATCTGAGACAATAAAAATAAAGTTGGTTCATGTAAAACCTATGGAACAAAGTGACATTTCTCTGCTTAAACGTTAATAGATATAACATGACATATATGTATAAAAGATAGAGTATAGTAACTTACTGATATCATTATAAGAGAGTGATTTTCTAGGGTATCGATCATGTCAAGTTCGAGATTAGTCATAAAACAAAGCCCATGAGAATATGATCAAAATAAAATCTTTTTCAATAACTTTTTTAACAGGCAAAACCGGACATTTTTTGACATAAATAAATAAAATTTCATTTTTAAATGCGTATCAGAATTCGTCTCAAAATTCTTATCAGTCGACAAAGTTTAAAACATACTTCTGTAAAACCACCCTTAATTTCTATTTTTAAAAATATTCTTGATGAAATTCTAGATGATTTTTTAAAAGTATTTTAAAGATTTTATAAATTTTTTAATAATCAAACAGCGTTTTCGATTAGATCGGAGAAGGTGGGGGAATTCCCCCACCTTGTTTGAAATGAATTACTTCCTTGAGAAAAAAACTTACTCCTTCAGAAAAAAAGTTAAATGCATTTTTTTTTTGATTGTCTGCTAAAGTTGTTAGACTTGCTCCGTAAAACTTTCCCCACCTTGCCAGAGTTATATCGAAAACGCTGCAATCAAATTTCAAAATACATATTTAAATTTGTAATCAGCTTGAAAACCTTTATTAAATGACATATTTGACAACCAATTTTCTGATACATCTTTTCTGATGACAATTTTGCTAAAAACTAATTGTTTTATTCACTCCTGCTCACAATCACATGTATAAACAAATAAAAAAGCTCATCAGCGCAGACCTTGGGTTTAAAGTGTAACTCTTTCATTCAAACATGATGGATTAAGGTGGCAATGGATAGAATCTATGTCCCGAGCAGCTTGTCCACGTATACAATGTATATTCAGTATTGTCTGTGGGTTCGCGTACGTTCGCAAGCGTTAGGAAGAGAGGAGTATGGAGTGGATAAAATTTTCAGATTTCCGGCAATTTTCTCTCTCTACAAACTTTCACGCCTTGTTCGTCCTGTGTCTCTTTCAGAGGAATTCAGTGAAGAAGCTACACAAAATATATTATTCGATTAGACTTTGAGAAATTAATTCTCATTCAAACTTCTGTTATCAGAAAAACCGTTTTGTCTGCTCTCGACGTTGTGTCGATTATTTTTGAAAACATTTTCAAATGACCTATTCACGATCAGAACGCGATGAGCTTTCTTTTGAAATGGATGTTAATGTTTTGCAAAAGAGATGATAAATCCAGATAAAAGCATTACCAATGGGAGTGAGGGACTATATAAATGAAAATAATTATTTCTGTAACAACATGCAACTATGGAAAATATTCGAAATGAAAAATTATTAAAAACATTGTTGTAACGTGAAAAAAATCAACTGAAATTAGATTTTATTTTTTACATCAGTTTGTACAAAATTGAATAGAGAGAATCAAGGCTCACTTCAAAAATTGAGAAATAATTTATCTATTACTTTCAAAATTGGTAATTAATTCTAACACTGGTTGTTTATCAACCGATGATCAGACAAACGACGCCACGAGAACTGAAACTTGTTTATATACCATTCGAACAAGCGTTTCAAACACTCTTTGATGTAAGATTTATTCATTCTTTAAACTTATCCTTAGCAGAAGAAAAAAAACAGTTTAAAGAAGATAGAGGATCGAGAGTTTACATATACTACAATTGTTTGAATTTTGTCTCACTGAAGTTTAATGAGAGAATAAAAAATTTGTTTGATACACGTTGTGTAATGCTGACTTTGCTTTTTCAAACAAAAAGAAAGGCCAAGTCTGAAAACATGGAGAAACAGCGGTCAACATTTGTTACAAAACTTATGTACATTTCATTAACCGTAAAAATTGTTAAAAAAATATCATCAAAAGTTTAGCTAGAAATTTTATTCATGAACAGATGAATATATGATGTTCAAGAAGATAAACTCGTGCTCAAAACAAAAAGAAATTACAGTTTATTTATCCCTTCGGTATATAAATATTCATCCTTGGTTTACATTAAAAAATTTGAATGGAAATAATAAATCGAAAAGATTTTTTGTTTGATAATTTGAACGTAACGCTTATACACACTTGTAAACAAATTTCTTTTAATCTTTTCTTCAGAAAAAATATAAAATCCGCAAAAAATGAAATCTTTTCGTTATTTTTATTATATATCAATAAAAAAGCACAAATGTCAAACACCGTCAAATTCAATCGTTCTTTAAACTTAGATTTAAATAAAATAGTCAGTTTAAAAGAGCATACACGGCAATAATACAGTTGTAGTAACGTTATTGATGATTTTTATCGAAAAGCAGAGAGAAAAATAAAATAATCAAAAATTTGATAGAAGACTACAAAATAAAACGGATTCGTTTCCATAAGTTTGATACAATAAACTATCGGTTCTCTTCTACGAACAGTGATCGTACTATTTTCATGGAACAAAAAAACACGTTAAAAGAAGAAATAAATGAAATATTTTATGTTAACTGCTTACCGTAAAATCTCTTAGCAGAATAAATGTACTATAAAATCCCAAATATCTACTGAAACTTGTTATTGTGAATATAAATGACTAGAAACTAACAGATTCTTTTTTCCTATAAGATACTTTTTTACGTTAACAAATACGAAAGAAAGAAGGACGTAGAGACCTGTTCATAAGAAACGAAAAAAAGAGAGAAAAGGGCAGACAAAACCCAATCAAGAAAAAACGTCCACAACTAACACAACGAAGAAAAACAAAATGAGATTTCGACAGAAAATAAAATGATAAAGTAGTTTATTTTTTATTATCAGTCGAAAATACCGGAACGTGATCATAATAGAACAACAAGGCTTTAGCAAGTAGTTTTCGAAGATCTAGACTTGCTGACAAAAAATATTTTGCTTTGTAAATTTTTTTTTTGCTCCTGCAGTCTCTTCTGGACGATTTAACACTCCAGAGGTGGGTACGGTTCCTATTTGCCTTCTCTTCCAGTAATCATTCGAATTCATATTTTTTATACACATAATGCATCGAAATTCAATTCACTTTCCTTGAATTTTGACCTATTATTTTCTCCTATTAATAGAATATTGTTAACGTATGAGCTAAAGATCATACTGTTGTTGCTGCTATTGTCAAAGTTTCATTTTAACTAATAGCATAGTTTAATATTACTGTTCTTTTTCCTGTCTTTCATTTTAATGTTCAATTTATTTTTCTCTGCTGACTTCATTGATTTGTTAGCAAAATGAAATTCATGTTTTTCTCTCTTCTTCTAGAATACCACTATTTTGGAGCGTTTATAACAATTTACTATTGCTTATAATCGGCATTACGTTACTCTACAGTAGGAATGACGACAATGTGTACATTTATCTATACAACTGTCACCTTTGAAAGGAATTGATAATGACATCTGAAAAGAAAGAAAAAAGGTAATAAAACGAAAAAAATTAGAATATTCAAATTATTTCTATTACTAATAAAAAGTACAAATGAAAAAGTCTCGTATTTTGGTTGACTCTAGATTTAGAAAAGAAGAATGAATTAAAAAATAGTCATTATCAGTGATTAACACGATTAAGTACTACTGTAAAATTAAGAATTTTTTCTTGTTCATATTCATTGATTTTTATTAGAAAAAGAGAGCAGTAGAGCGCAAACTCTCAATCATCAAGGAAGTAAAAATAAAATGTGTAATGTATTATTATTTGGTGACAAAGAATAAGATAATAATATTCGTTTTCTGTTGCTCTTAAAGTTTTTAGTGCCGCTGCTCGTAGTTCATTTAACTTAACATCACCGTTGGTCCTAATATACGAAGACCATTTTCATTTACAGAAATTAGCTCGGCTTCTGGAATATCTATCTCTAACATGAATCATACAAAAGTGTTTGATAAAATAAGATATCTGTTCTGTTTCGTATACTTAAACACAATATGAAGAGAGTAACACCTTGTAAAATAACTCCTCGAACTATGTAATGGCAATTTTGCCGCTTTAGTTGCAGGGTTATTAGGATTTTTTCATCTTTAAAATAAATATAGTTTAAATCAATACAATTTACAGTCTGAAGGAGTATTGTACTCTTTGCAGTCATTCCACGTAACTCACCCGGAAACGTGATTTTGATACTTTCTTTTACTATTTTCTTGTTTTTATATTTTTCGAATAGAAGAGTGCTACGAGCTCATTCTGTGACGTAAAGTATGTTTAACACGATGAGTTATGTCAGAGTTCTCTAGATTCTTGGTTATGGAGATGATGCAAAGATATTCAACACGACTTTTGAACAATGTGTATCTTCGTTCTGTTGTTATATCTCCATAACTAAGAATCCAGAGATACAATTCATCTTTTTAAGTATACTTTTCATTGTAAAATGAGACAGTCGTGAGCTCGTGGCACTCTTCTGTTTGAAAAATATAAAGATAAGAACATAGTAAAAAAGAGCGCTTGGTAAGACATATGAAGATGGAAGTCATAATCGACACCATTGATGGTAGATTCGAACATCTTAATATGCAAGATGTACGATATAATGATAATCAGAATCGCACAATAATACCACCTAGGGAATGTAAAATAAATGTTCACTACGTACCTTAACTGATCCTTTTACTATTTCTACTCTTCAGGTTTTACATCGACTGCTAAACGCGACGATAAGCAAATGTTCCTTCTATTGAACTTGGAAATGAAAAATAACCGTATTGTTTTTTTGAAAAAAATTATAAAAGCTTCCCACTTTTCGAGCGATATCTATGCTGCTTAAATAATAACAACGGATGTAAAACAGGCATCACTTGAAAATTAAAAAAGATTAAAAATACATCTTACAGAAAAATCGCCTCATTTTCCATTGAACAATATTAAGTAATGTTTTCTGTTTATTAAACGCTGATGAAGAAAAAAATGAGAAAAAAAAATCAACAAGAACATTAAAAGAGAAAAAAAACGAAAACAAAACAAATATCTTGTTTATACACGTATATAGAGCTTTTCCTAATTGTTGTTGTTCTTCTTCTTTGAATATGCTGACTAATTAACCAATTGAAGCTAAATAATCTTTGACTTCGGCTGGTGTTAAACGTCTAAATCCTTCTTTATCACAGATACCAATTTCAATATTATCTTCAGTCATTTGTCCTTCAAATGATTCTTTTAAGGTTAAAATAGCCGTATGAACAGCATCTTCCAACTCTAATTGATCAGAATAACTACAAATCGAACAAACGGAGAGAGAAGAATAAAAACATAGGTAAATAAATCAATAACTCACCGTTTTTCCAAGAATGTTTTACCATTAATAAAATTTCGACCAATGGCTGTTGCTTTCCAAGGAAAATAAGAACCCTGAAATGAATAGATCCACAAATATGAAACAAGTGTGGATTTTGCTTTATTAATTTATTATGTCGACAGACATTATGTGTTTCTGATGGGAGTTTTTGTTTTTTATTTTCTTTCGTCCCTTTTTTAGGCAAAATGTGCACCTCGTGAGAGAACTGCGAAAGCTAGAAAAGTTCTGAAAAAGTTAGAATATTCTCTAGGATTGAAGATTGATCAATGCACGTTCTTTTTCAAAACTAAGTCCAGATTCGGCGCCATAAACTACACAAGTACAAATAAAATATTTTTTGGACTTAGAAACTTTTCGTACATTTAAAAGAGCTGATTGTCCGGCGCCATTTGTTCTTGAGACGAAATGTCAAATAAATATATCTATATTGATTTGATTTACTCAATATATATAAATATATATATATACTGAGTAAATCAAAGCAAAAATGTGGTAATGTGTAATGTGGTTAATTCCCTATTGACTGCGGATAGATTCTGGCAGATTCAGATCGGACATAGTCTGTTGACATTGCAACTTGTGCGCCGCGCAATTGCTCTCTAATTATTATATCTATTAGATTCTTTTGGATGGAGTATGATATGATGGTTGAATAGAGTGAACTTCTCAATTACTATCCATTTCAAAATAGAATGTAGTCCATGAATAACTGTTGATAGGAAAGAGATAGAGAGCTACGATTTTCAGTTTTGAAGAGAGAAATGTTAAGGCTATGGTACTGTGGCAAAAGGAAAAAAAATACCACCTGCATGTTTTGAAATAGACAGTAGCGTATTCTTACTTTCATACACTTACAAGGTATTTTTCTACTTACAGATGGATCACATTGATACAAAAATGGTCGGTCTTCATCATAATCATAGCCACATATCAATAATGAAACTCCAAACGGACGAACACCACTAAAGTAAAAATAAAGACTGTCCAATTTATGTGCATAAAAAAAGTTCGATGAAAACGAACATTTTACTAAACCTATAATCTATCTAATTGATAGAATATTCAGAAGTCTAGCAATCAAATCTTTCTATTTTAAATTTTTGCTTTTACCCTGATTGTGTATATTCTTGCATAACATCGGCAACTCGTTTCACTAATTGAGTTGGTGGTACATTTTGTTCATAAATTAACATATATTCTTGAGCTAATTTACGAGCTTTTTGAACTAATAATCTAAATAAAATAATCATTAATTTTCTGCACAAATATTTGATTTTCTTTTTATACCGAAAGTCTGGCCCCATTCCACTGTAAACTACGCCCATATTTCCACAAATTGATTCAACTTTATGTATTGTTCGATCATCGTGTAATATTGATTTTGATTTTTTTTCCGTAGCTAACACGACACCATTTTTAGCTTTAATACCAACAGCTGGAGAACCGGCATTTACTGCATTCAATGCATATTCAATTTGAACTAATTTACCGCTTGGACTAAATGTTGTCAACGAAAAACCATAACGTTCAGACATTCTACTGTTATTGAGTACGCTTTCGATTGAAAATTTGCTTCTAGTAAAGAAAAGGAAAAATTAACAATTATAGCGCAGATAAATTAAAAATGAGTATGTTAAACAAAACAATTTGAAGAAGAAAATATTACGATTAATAGTAATATGCCACTTAGAGCAATATCATAAAATTCTTCAGATCTACATGTTTGGAGATCAGAACAGATGCTGCTGTGAAACACTTTTCCAAATGTTATAAAATCAAAAAATACTGTCTTCTTCAGTGATTAGTCAGTAAATCAGAATGGGAGTAATAACGCAGTATCTCCACACAATCGAACAGATTCTTCTCGATAAATGTAAATTGTTAATAAATTAATTTGTCAGATATGAGCTATAGAAAATATATGTTTTCTGCAAAGCGCTATTAGACCGTTCTTCACAAAAACCCAAAACTGCAAGAAATCTTCTGAAATCACAACTATTTATAAAAGTAAATAGAGTACAACCTTTTTGTCCTTACGTATATTTTGCCTAATAGAAATCTTTTTTCTAGGTAAAAAACAACAACAAATATTACAGACTGCTTTTCTTCTCATTCTTAATTATACAAATAAATAAAGAAAGAAACAAAAAAAACAAAAAAATAATAATTTATTTGAATGCAATAGAAGCAAAAAACGACAAAACAATTCTAAAACTAGTAATAGAAAGAGAAAAAAATAAAAAAAATACGGACACTGTGCACCCGTTTGTTTTAATTTATTCTATTCTCGTATGGTAACATTTCTTGCTTCTAAACCTTTTGGCCCTTCTACAACTTCAAATTCAACTTCTTGTTTTTCTTCTAATGTTTTGAAACCAGGTCGATTAATATTGGAAAAATGAACAAAAACTTCGGTACCATCGGATTTAAGTATGAAACCAAAACCTTTCTCTTTTGAAAAACGTCTCACGGTACCAAGAAGACGACCTTGTGAAACACTTTGTTCAGAACTCGAACCCATTTCTACTTCATTTCTTATACTGGATCTTGTACTTCTTCTGCCAACACGTTCAGAAAACAGTGATCGTTTTTGTTGGTCTGGAAGACTGGATTCTAAATAGAATTAAAAAAACTTAATTCTTATTTCAACTAATTTATGCACTTTTTTAACATACCAGAAATAATTGTGACATCTCTTGCTTCTTCTCCTTTTTGTCCCATTACAATATCGAATTCAACACTTTGTCCTTCATCTAATGATCGAAACCCTGGTCGATTTATATTTTTATAATGAACGAATATATCTAATCCATTTGATTTTGTAATGAAACCAAAACCTTTCTCAGTAAAAAATTTACTAACAATACCAGTTTGACGTTGCGATTGAGATGAGGATTGCGCGTCCGATTGAACATCAGTTGAAAAAAATTGACAACGTAAATAACGTTGATATAATAATGAGGATGAATTGATATAACTAACATCAGCAGTAACTTGCTGATGAGGAACAAGTTGAATTTGTCGACCTGTTATGGAAATAACACGTTTTAGAATTGATAACATGATGATTTATTTTTTGTTGTTCGTCTGACAGAGTATGATGAACTATAACATGGTAGAAGGTAGTTGATTCACAGCTTGTTTGTAAGTAGGCACCGAAAACTCAATCAGAATACTACTTCTATGTTAAACTCAACTAAACGACTATAAAGTTTAACGGGTTTTCTACTATTACTATTCTTTCTTTAAAAGAAAAATACTTTTTTGTAGAGAGTAAGACTGCTTTTTGAGACGATGTTCTTTTTTTTAAACAGAAGCTGTTATGACAGGTTAAACTCGTTCTTCAGCCTCACAAAAATGATAAAACCATGCATTTTTACTAGCGATTACTACATTTTTGATGCAACAGTTTGCAGATAGGAGATGACCATTTCGATGGGCTACTATCTAGGTGTCCTTCCAAACATTTCAGCAAGGAAAGAATTTAACTCTTTTTGTGAAACACAGATTACACTTTCTCTCGCTCTCACACATACTGGGTGAAAGGTAATTGATAGACCAATCCAGTCTTGAACTTCTTAGTCAGCACGAAACGTCAGCTCAGCCGCGACACGACTCTTCCATGAATTGAAATGTGGTGGCAGTAACATATTACAGTGTGAGTAAGTGAATGTGAAAGGAATTTCATTCGCGGGAAAGGTTCGCGGAAGAGCCGGTGTGCCCAGTTCAGCTCTTGTCTACAATGTGGGAAGGATGCGGCGAAAAGAATAAAATATTAATGAACAATGAGATAACTTTTCTTTATATTCAGTATTTCTATAAAAAAACAGTATGAAGAAAAAAAGTAAAAAATACATAATAAAATGATAAACTAATACTTCGAGCGCTATGAAACAAAAAGTAATCACATCATATATTTGACGTGCATAATCATTGAAATAAAAAAATGAAAATCTATGTCTAATTTTGTAAACAAATCACAGAATGCAGAAAATTCGTGTTTTTATTGAATAGAGAAAACTTAACATCAAAATCCTCAATTTTGGATGTCAATATCAAGTTAAAGACATTGTAGTCAACGGGAAACGTGCAACCTTATGATGTCACAGAAAAACTGTGAAACCAAAGTTAACGCTAAAAAAAACCTTTATAGTAATATTTCTTCTTATTTCATGCTAAAGACGTTGTATTCAGCGTAAGAAATGTAACGCTACAAAAAAAACGACATTTTTCTTTGACTTTGCCATGGGTTTCGTGACTATTTTGGCTGAGGAGAGAGCACAGGGAGATGACAGAGAGAATCAGTATGATTCTTCGTGCGAATGATTAGCCCAGACAAAGATCAAATTGAAAATCTGAAATGTTCGAACCAGCTGTTTATGGAAAATCTTCTTCGATTCTCAAATCAGACAAATGTTCGAACATTAAACAGCATAGATGCGTAGAAACAGTTGTCTTTCAGCGAGCACATTATTCGCTAGATGTCGCAGACCTAGAAGTTGTTATAATCGTCGCTACTCTGCAAGTTTATTTCAGGTAAACGTTATGAGTGTGGGTATTCTAATCATAGACAGCGGATCCATTCAGTAGGCTTGATTTAATAAGCTCCTGTAGCGAATGTACTTAAATTCGGATACTGAAGAACTTTGGTTACTGCAAGCCAAGTATGTCTAAGTTTTGAGAAAGCCTTCGATCGGGTGCCGTTTCAGATACTCCTATCGAAACTTGCAGCTTTGGGAGTGAAAGGTGCACCATATCGATGGTTCGAAAGTTATCTGTCAGAGAGGAGACAACGACTTAAGGTGGGCTCATCGTATTCAGAAACAGCAGTGGTTCCTTGTCTGAAGTACCCAAGACGAAGAATCTTGAAATATGATCGTGTAAGACCAAATTACAAGATACCACAAGATTTCACAAGATCTTGTCAGTTCTTATAATCAAATCGTGCAAAGGCATCATTGAAGTGACAAGATCTTGTGAAATCTTGTGATATCTTGTAATTTGGTCTTACACGATCACATTTCAAGATTCTTCGTCTTGGGTACTTCAGCCTACCACCGTGAATACCTGTCACGTATATTATAATTCCTTTACAGTCTTCTTTTTTCTTTTTTGATTTGTCGGCCATTTCGATGAAGCGATCTTATAAGAATCATTTCATTTTTTGTTTTTTCTTGTCATCTACACACTATCCATCTATATTTAAATGTTGGCTGAATTTCATGCGAATCTTTTTTTTAACCTTTTTATAAAGAACAAATAAATCAACTTAATGTTAAAGTAGAAAGCTTACTGTCTGCGGGAAGACTGGAAAATCGACCGAGTAGAACGGGAAACAGCCGAAAGTAGAACATTCAGAAAACAGTTTGAACTTTTTTCAGAAAGAGAATCTCTAGCATGAACTGGGCATTCGAAAAGGTACGGTGAGAAGTGTAAAAGGTAAATTGAATCTAGTGTGTTTTTCTTTAGCAGCAAAAACATGTTTCGAAATTTATTCAGCTATATTTATCTTCTACATATATTATTCACATTATTGCCATATCAGCTGATCCATTATCCTATACATTCTGCTATAGCTTCATCATATTCAGCACTACAGCATATATTTACTATGAAATTGCCCGTGTCGACGAAATCGCGGTATTTTTAACAATTAATCGCAATTCTTAAAAAATCGCAGATTAATTGCGATTAATTGGCGATTTCGATGATTTTTCTTTTTTTTTAAAATCGACAATTAATTGCCATTAATTGTTGATTTTAAGCAATTAAATGGTTATTGCTATTCAACATTTTATTTTACAGTAAAGTATGTATATAAGAAACACGATTTCAACGAGAAATACACTTCTATTTAGATTATCTTTTTATTTTAGAGTAAAACGGTGGTGTCAAGTCTTCTCGGTGATCCCTCAGAGCTTCAAGATGAGGAGCCCAGTGAACAGCTGGTATCTGGACAATGCCTAAAATCGAGTTCACGGAAAGACTCCGACTTCAGCTGGTGCTAAGATCCTTGATGGATGACGTATATGTCATTATACATAATAAACAATGAAAAAACAGAAAAAAATATGTATTTCTTAAGATGGGTTCGAACTTATTATAAAGAAAAAAATCGTCAATTAATCGCGATTAATCGTATGATTTTTCACGATTAATTGCCGACTTTTATGCGATTTTTATTACATGGGGGATCACGTGATGATTAATTATCTCCTAGGAAAAACGATAAAGTGAATTGAAACTTCTTGAATCACGAACTTGAAATTTCTGTCTCCAAGATCTTGGCCAAGATCGTGAGTGAAAGATTCAAGAATCCACGATCTTGACTTCTTGGTGATTTTGCCGAGATCTTGTGACATTTCTTAACGCAAGGTCATGGATATAAGAAATTTCAGTAGGAAACTAGATGCCAACCGCGAAAATCGAGATCAAACTTCAGGAATTTTTCAAGTAAATTGAGTACCACTCGAATGTAAAGTTAGATCGAGACCATATTCCTTCACCATTAGAATCAACTCGTCAAGAGCTACAATTTGATGTATAATTATGCAATGTTTCGTACATTTTCACCGACTTCGGTTTCACCCTCACCAAAAACTTGAGGTGTCTAGAGAACCACTTTCCACACGTTTTTTCAAAAAAGCGTAAGCGAGACCTTTAGGTTATTTTTGATGCTTTGCACGATGGGCAAAGTGAAGTTTGTGCGGCAAGATGCTCTGTATAAAGTGGGCGGACCTGTATGGAAGAATCCTACTTGAACTTGATTTTATTTTACAAACAAAGCTGACTTTACGAAAACAGCTGCTGTAGGAAAGCAGAAAAAGTAAAAAATACTTATACACACTGCCACCTGGAGTAGCAACACCACAAGAGAGAGAATACACGCTTATACCTATAGATACATTCTTACAGAATAGAGTACAGAAAAAAAAAAAAACCCACAGAAAATACCTTAAATTTGCAAATGATTGTTCAGCGTCGCTCTAAACTGACCTAGAGTACCTACCGCAACAACTGTTTCTGGTAAGGCGTTCCAATCGTCGGCAGTCTGATAGAAAAAAGCTGACGCTACCCGTTTTTTTGTAAGATTCGGTGTCGCGACTGGCTTCGTGTTTGCCCTTACGTGTTTTAAAACTGTACTTGTATTCAGACGCTCTGTTCTACGATCCGTCAGCGGTGTTATAAAGGACTGAAAGCGGCGATAACTTGTTCATTACTTTATAGAAATGAATCAAACGAAAGTATTTTCTTCTCAACGACAAATCGGGGAGTTTTAGTTTTTGAATTAACTCTGACATCGATCCGTCGAATTTTTTGGAAATCATTCTTGTGGCTAATTTCAAAATTTTGTCAAGAGTTTTCGTATAACAATTGCTATTGTAGACGAGACAACAGTAATCGAGTTTGCTAAGAGTACAAGCTCGAAAAATAGATAACCGGGTGCTAACTGGAGCTTCCTTGAAAGTACGAAACATTGCTCCAAGCCGCCTTCTGCATCCGAGAACTAACTCGTCAACATGCTCTCCCCGCGTGAGATCGTCGCTTAAGCGCACCCCAAGTCAACGTTCGCGCCTCATTCTTGGTGCGATCGCTATGAATTCGCGTCTGTCACGGCGCGATCGCTATAAAATCGCGACGCGATCGTTGTGATCTCTTACACTCGCGGCGCGATCTTGATAGATTCTTACTTTCGGAGAAAATTAATTTATAAGAATCGCGTCGCGATCGCAATGAAATCTTATATTCGCCTCGCGATCGCTATAATGTCGCGAAGTCGCGGCGCGATCTTGATCAATTCTTATTTTCAAGAACCCAAGTCAACTTTCGCGCCTCAGGCGCGGCGCGATCGCTAAAAAATCTTGTATTCCCATCGCGATCGCGCTGCACTCTTAAACTTGCGCCGTGATCTTGGCCCAATCTTATTTTAAAAAAAGTCTGTTTCTAAGATTCGCTATACTGTCGCTATGTCGCGGCGCGATCTCTATAGAGTCGCGATTTCGCGACAGAACTTGAAAAGTTATGAATTTTCAAGAAACCAAGTCAATATTTCTTAGCGCGAT